ATTGAATAAAGATGATGGTCCTGATGGAAATGTTGTCAGCAGATGGCGTGAAATTCTTTAATATGTAAATTGGTGTTTTGATAACTGTATGAATTGGTGTTATTTTTGCAAAACATTACACTTCTGAGGATGACGTAAGATATACGTCGAAACATGTAGGATGTATGAGGTTGTTTTACAGTCACGTCGGAGATTTTGCCACTTTATACCCCTGTATAGTAAATTATTTAAGACTGGAAACAATCTCATTTTATTGAATTGTGTATAAAATAATCGTTGTTTTTAAATAAAAGTTCTTAGTTTTCAAAATAAGGTCCCTTTAGTTTATTAGCTGAACTATCTGTGCACTGCCCACCACGAGTATCGAAACCCGATCTATAGCGTTTTAAGTCCGCAGACATCGCGTTGTGGCACTGGGGGAGTGGGTGGGATTCGTGAACTAAAACCTAATATAAATCAAAACATTATATGACTGTTTAAACTGAGTGCGTGTGTGTGTTTTTCCTATAGAAAAGCCACATCAGGCTATCTGCTATGTCCACCGAGGGGAATCGAACCGCTGATTTTAGAGTTGTAAATCCATGGACTTTCCGCTGACCCAGTGGGGAACATTAAACTGATCATGACCACACGAGTGGTCGAAACGTTGTTATAATGTTTAAAATAGAAATAATAATTCATTCAAAAAGCTGTCTTTCGACTTTTATTTAAAATAGATTTCCTCTCTTTACAATAATGTTTGTTATCTCGCGTATTAAAAAGTTTGTCACGTCCAAACTTAGAGTGGCCATTCAAGTCTTTTCTTACCATCAAAGACCTTAACAAAACAGAACAAAAGAGCAGTGGTCGTGGGAAAAAGTACAGATATCTCTAGCGGGCCCCCCAGTGGCACAGCGGTATGTCTGCGGACTTGCAACGCTAGAATCCGGGTTTCGATACCCGTTGTGGGCAGAGCACACATAGGCCATTGTGTAGCTTTGTGCTTAATTACAAACAAACAATCTCTAGCGGAAAAATATGTCAACCATCAAATTACACTGAAGATCTTGGAAGTTAATCGTGTTTATAGAGGGCACCTAAATTGTTCGGGAACGACTCCCAGCCGTAAGATTTTGATATTTCTTTAATTGTGTGTTATTTCTTAATTTTAATTTTCAAATTTTATAGCCAAACAAATTTTCTATCAAGATCAAGTACATATCCAGCATATTTGTGTGTGTGTATATATATATATATATATATATATATACA